ATTTTCGCAAAAATTATTTGCAAAAAAATTACTTTTATAGAAAAAAACGAGTTAATAGCAGTGTTCGCGTATTCAGAATTATCTGAAACAAAAGAAAATAGGGCCTTTTGAATTATTTATTGCAGATGTTATAATTATTGCTAGTATACAGTGAAAAGCATAGTAAAGCTATTAAGCACTGGTTGTGTTCAGTTTATTTTTAGTTAATTTACTATTAATCTCCAGTTGTCTTATTTTAGTGCGTGTCAACTGTTTGCCGTATACAATTTTTCGATGGTACCATATTTTTCCCTAAACTATACCGAAATAGATAAAAATGTTGAAATGTTTTGACCAAATTTTTCAGTTGTTAGTTGAAAAGAAAAGAGGATGATTTTAAAGGCACATTTGTAACCACATCTACTTATTTTTTTTGAATGCGTCATGATGTGTTACCGCAAATAATTTTGAGAAAAATAACTCATTCATTTCGAGATAATTCATTTATATGTAAAAAAAACATTTTTCCTATTCCAAATTCCAAATTGGGGGCAATGCACCTAGTGGATAATAAATAAATAATAAACCAAATGGACTACCTATTGCAACCGTGAGATGAAACAGCTGCTTCGAACATTGCAAGCTTTTGCAAATTTTGCCCTCTCGTTATTTAGTCTCTTAATAGCGTATGCTCAGAATTTTTGCTGCTAGATAATTTTGTCGGGAAAATACGAAAACACTCCTAGACCCGTTCAATATCTTACAAGTTTTCATTTGAAATTCGTTCAACAACCCCAAAAATTTGCAAGAGGACGAATTCGAGAGCGTACCAACCCAATAGAGCTGCAAATTGTTGCAAGTAAAAATTTTACTAACAGCAATTGACAGGTGTTAAAAAATCAGTCTTGTGTCCATTTCAAACGTAAACAAAGTGTTAAGAGGAAGATTTAATGAAATGATGCTAAAAAAATTAGTGAAATAAAATAAAATAATTAAAATCTAAGGTGGATTTTTTTTTTTTTTTTTTGTTTTTATGATAATTTCCAACGCGCCAAAACTTAACCAGAAAGTCAAAATGGCGTAAGTTCCACCTTAATACTAGTTTTGCGTCCAATAGCTGTTTCTGATAATTTTCTTTTCCACTAAATTTTACTCTATGTTTCTTTTACGCTCTAGTGACATTCAGACATTCGTTTTTAATAAATTCCACGTATTTACTTGCATGAGGTGGAAAACGGTGACTATTTTATCCACAAAAATTCAAACTTCCAAGTATGCAGAGTGTGGTAGTTCGAAATAATTGTAAAGCAGTGCTGTATTTTGACAAAATTGTACCAAAAATGTCTATGTAGTATCAATGTATTTTTGGGGTCCAAAATGTACCAAAAAAGTACAATTGTATCATCACTTTCAGCCCTGAATCAGCGGTTGTGCTGCTGAGTTGGGTGAGCATTCCAAAAGCTGCTATTCAATCGCTGGTTCTGTATGGAAAAAGGTTTCACATGCAAATAGATTTTAACAATTTAGGATTTTTGTGAGACTAAATTAAAAATATTTGACATTTTCGAGAATCAATAATTTGAAAAAAAAAATCAAATCAGTTGCTGTATGCTGCTATATGTAATACTTCTATATTGGCAGTAAGCTATCTTCTCAATGAGTAAAAATTCCGAAATCAGAACTAGACAGTATAGTACCGTGTTTGTATATGTATTGGGTACGTGTATATTTATGAACGAAAACAATTCAAACAACTGTCAAATCACTCCAGTGGCGGATTTAATTTATAGTAAAAGGACACATCTGTAATTTAAAATAGGGCCGAGGTGTAGTTTAAAAAAAGTTAAACAACTTTGTAAATATAAATATTCTTTCTAATGGTCCAGTATGTAAACGTCTTTCGTCATTTTGTTAATTGCCCGAATTTTTTACTTTTTATACGGTGTTACCTGACGACAGAACGCCACCATGATTCCTAACTAATTTTTTAGGCTCTAATAAATAATCGATGAAATATGTAAAAAAAACAATTTTTGCGAGCAATACCTTTTGTTATACATACATATGTATATGCACATAACACATTTATTTTTATAATTCATTTTTTGGATCAACAAAGTTTTAAACAAATAATACAATTGTAGGAGTTATAACTAAAGTGACCATGTAACGAATATGCGTATTCTATAAATAGCGTCTGCGTAACATAAATATTTCCTTATTGATTTGCAAATAATATGCTTTGTAAATTTTTTTCGAATAGGTATATGCTTTTCATTCAGTTTGTTTAGTGCTTTCGTAAAATAGTCGGGAATCGATGTAGAAAGAAATAATAGATTTACAAAGAGTAATCCGATGGTCGTTGAGCACATCGTTACAGAAAAAGTTTTCTATTTGTATATGATCATTCATTAATTTATTTACGAACGGATGTTTTAAACTTCGAAAAACTATAGCAACAAGAAATTTCTTTATATTTTTACGATACATGTTCGCTGACTGCTGTCTGATAACACTCTCACATATTAAGCATTTATCGCACACATCCTTTGATGGTGTCAGATAAGAGCCCTTATTTTTTATTTTTGATAATGTTGGCATTTCTTCTCCTAGCAGTTGTTCCTTACAAATATCGCAATTAATACTTGATATAACTTTCCAAACGACAAATCCCGCTATGTAGCGAACGACATTATCCTCACATCCCATTAATGTAATTGCATGTATGCTGAAGGTCGTATTTACCTTCAACCTGGGCTCGAATCGTAACATACGATATCGTAATACTCGTCACGTAAAAACCCATTTTTCGGATTATGACATAAGTGAACGTACTCTTTGTCTCATTCAGCTTATACTGCCTGACGTATCACGTAATTTTCTTTCGTATCGTTT